AGTTGCAAGGGAACCATGGGAGACGTTAGGCAGGTGAAAACTGCCATCAGTTGGTCAAAACTAAGCCTTTCACCAGTTTTGTAATGGGGACATGGTAAAATATGTCTTCTTTTATAGGGCATGTCAGTCAAGGTATTTGTTATTGAATTGGAGTCACTTTTTTTTTAAGATTTTACTTGATTAGGCGCCCTGGCTGGTGTAGCTCAGCGGATTGAGCGCGGGCCTGCGAACCAGACAATCGCGGTTCGATTCCCAGTCAGGGCACATGCCTGGGTTGCAGACCAGGTCCCTGCAGGCCAATTCCCCGCAGGGGATGCACAAAAGGCAACCACACATTGATGTTTCTCTCCCTCTCTCCTTCCCTTCCCCTATAAAGATAAATAAATAAAATATAAAAAAAAAGATTTTACTTGATTATTTCTAGAATGAAGTGAAGGGAGGGATAAAGAGAGGGAGAGACACATTGATCAATTTCTTCTTATATGAGCCCCAAATGGGGACAAAAATCGTAACCCAGGCATGTGCCCTGACCTGGGATCAAACTGGTGACCTTTCAATTTGTGGGATGAGGACCAACAAACCGAGTCACACCAGTCAGGGGTGAAGTCCCTTTTTTGATAACAAACTGGTAAGGAGTTAAGTGACATGAAAAGCTCATTTACTACTCTCCACACAACATAAAAATAACCACAGGCATGAAGGCTCTGTGGTCAACTAAGAAGACTGCCAGCCCGAGGCTGCCAGTCTGACTTCGTGTTTGGTTTTCAAGCCTACATTACCTCTACGCCCCACTCTCCTCCCTCTTCCCTTTTGATTGTTTCTGCCCTGAAGGGCTGACTTCATTTGCTGTATTATCTTCCTCTTCTCCAATGTGTTCACTACATATAGAATCTTCCTGTTGGACTTTTGTTGTGACTTCTTTTTAACATGCCTCTTTCCTTCCCTGTTTACTTACTAGACCTATACCATTGTATTCCACTCTTGTTTTCTTTTACTCAAATGATGTATATATCCATGACTTACAGAATAGCCCAGTTCCAGGAAACTTGCACATAATTTTTTAAATCAGTGTATTCATTCTGCAAATACTGCCGAGTCCCTCTAACGTCACCCAATGTACTGAGCACCAAGGAGACAGACAAGCACCCAGCAACCGCTATTCTAAGTTGGTGAGTTCTACGCTAGAAATGTTAACAGGTTGTTATGGGAGGATGAAACCGTAATTTCTCCCAGGTTAGTGGGAAGAAGCACATGAGGCTGTTGGAAAGGTTTTCCAAGGTTTCCAACGGAAACCTTTCCATGGTTTTCAAAGACAGAGCTGGGTCTTTGAAAGATAAGCAGACCTTTAGATCCTTTTAAATCAAAAGGGAAAAGGAGAGGGGTATGGTTTACAAAAAGATGTTCTGGAGAGAAGGTACTACTAAGCCAAGGTACAAGGTCAAGTGCCTGACTGGTAGAGAAGAGATAATGTGGCAGGGCTCAGACACAGAGGTGGGGGTGGGGAGTGGTGGAGGAGCCTGGAATGACACAAAGCACAGACTGTGGAAGGCAGACTGCGGGGTATGTGATGGTTTATTCTATAAGGAATGGTGGTGTGATCAACTCCTTAAGAATATTTCTGGTGCTAACATGGAAGTGCTGAGTTGGAAAAGGGACCTGTGTAAGTAGAGTAGTAAGGAAGCCACTGCAAGAGTCCAAGTTAATGAGAGCTTGAATCTAAGGCCGAGAGAAAGGAAGTGATGTATGAGTGGTTATTAAGAACAGACTTTAGTTAACAGTGGAGAGGTGGAAGGCAAAACCGGGACTCAAATGCGGTTCATGACTTGTAGCTCAGGTAAAGGGGATGCCTACAAACTGAAATACAGCAGGAAGCCCAAGGCAGTTTTACCTTCGAGTGTTGAAATGGAGATAATGTTTTAGATGTAATTACATATTTATGGGCCATTGAAACACAGATCTCCGATAAGCAGCAAAAAATTTGGGTCTGAAGCTCAAGTGTGAGCACAGACAAGGGTACTTCAGAGTTATCGATACAAGGTAGAGCTGATGCCCTAAATATAGAATGCAAACCAGTGAGGCTGGTTCTTAAAGAATTCTTGCCACGTTTGAAATTTTTAGTAAAGGGATTCCTTAAAGCAGGGGCATGTCTGTATTAATGAGAACATAGTATATTATAAAAGCAATAAAAGGGAAGATAAACTAAGGACTAAAAATAAAGAGTACACATAACAGTTGATTTTGAAGGATTACATTAACTCCTCAGTAAAAACAGCATCTAGGAAAATGAAGTAAAATGGCAAAGGGAGAAAAAGAAGTGAGGAAAAGAGAGAATGGGCAAAAGGACTAGGAAGGGAAGATTCAAAAATCATTTTGCTAAATTTTAAATGAGTCAGATATAGAAAAATGTTGAATGAACATTGAGACCAAATGAAAAAATCAAACCAAGAATGAGAAATGGCAAATAAGAACTCATGAGGGAAAAAAAACAAACACACAGAACATTAACAAGGAATATAGGAGAAATGACAAAAAAAATAAAGAGAATGGAATAACATGAAATTGTTTAAAAAGATATACCTTTCTCCCCAAAAAGCAAATTAAATAAACTTGACAGGACAAAGCAAAACACCAAATGCTGAAGATGAACATGTCTGCATGATTATTCAGGAGTAGGAACTAGAATGTGTGCTGGTTGAGTGTCCAGTGGTTCTGGAGTTGAACCTCAGTATTTCAGTTTGCTATGTGGCCTTAGGCAAGCTGGGAAAATGGTTATGAGGACTGTAATATCATGTGTAAAATGCCTAATACGTGGTTCTCAGTAAATGAAGGTTATGGAAGAAAAAAATTGGATGTCTTGATTAGTACATGAAAATCAAATTTCCAACAGTTTTTCTGATCTAAAACATGGTTTCAGTTACAGCACTTGAAACAAACTTTATTAGAACTGAGTGACGAAACTTCTCGAGATAGTTTTACATAACTGTTGGGTCAACCTTTGCTGTAATGAGTAACAATAGGATGTGAAAGTCAATTATGTAACATGCTATAAATTTTCTTTGGGGGCCTTTACGGTGCAAGCTACTTGGTTCAACCAGGTTATTTGCAATTATAGTAACATCTATACACCCACTGTACTTCCCCTTTTTGCTGAGCTGTTTGAAGACAAGCAGGGGAGGGTTCAATCAGTTTTGCTAAATACATTAACCAAAAAAAAAAAATTGTGTGCCCACCAATGTTCAAGCCTTCAGTCATAAACTCCCAATAAGATGGGAAATTAAATTATGTTTTCTTAGACATGTAGCATGAAACATTGTGTGTGCAAAAATAATTACCCTTAGTCTTAACTTGCTTTTGCTAGACTTCCTACTGATAAAAGTAGAAAACTTTAAGATTCTTAAATGTGATTCTGTGGAACTGAGACCAAAATATTTATGTAACTAATCTGTATAACTAGCTCCCTAAAATGTACTACAGGAAAATAGAATCTTTTTTTGTAGACAACTTTCAAGAATGCATCTCATCCACAAAGTTAGTTCAAACTATACAGTTTTTCCAATTCACCAGAGCTGGACAGTTTCCAAGGCTTCTGGGTACTTACCTTTGAGTTCCACATCCTACATTTCTGGGGTTCTTACCTGGGGGATCATGGACCACTGGGTTACGAACAGGCTTTATGGAGTTCTTGATTCCTTGATGTAGTGTGTGATACTTAGTATGCATGAACATGTCAATGTTTTTCTGAGGTAAAGGCACATACCTTTTACCAGATTCTCAAAGGCTTTCCAAAAAGCTTAAGAACCAGTTTGACACTTAAATGAACAGATGTACAATTGGCCAAATATTGCTGTATATTAACATTTCTGAGATTTCTTAATTTAATAAGCATCTCGGGAAGTTCAGTGTTGTAACTAGCAGAAAAGCTGCTTATAAGAGTAGTTCTTCCTAGTAATTCACACAATCCTCAACCTACTGTGATCTGACTTCTGTCCCATTCTCTGGAATTACTTGTCTGTATGATTAAGTTCCTAAGTGCTAAATTCAAACTATTCTTTGGTACTTATTTGACCACTTGGTGGACTAGTATAATGGAGAAAGCAGACTGTGGAGCCAAACTGTCCAAATCTCAGCTCCATCACTTTCTAACTCAGCAACTTTGGACAAATTAACTCTCTGTGCCTCAGAGCAGTATCCTTTGTAAAAAGCTTCTTCACTCATGTTGTGTGAGCAGTACTTACTTCAATGTGAACTTAAATTAGCTCCCAAAAAAGCGAGCATTATGTGTTAGCTATTATTTGGCACCTGGGATAACTCCTGTCTTGGAAATCATTTGAAACCTGTCTCCTATGTCTCATTTAGTCAACTAAGGATGGCTCCTTAGTTGCACCTTCCTACCTCTAGGTTTACCCCTCCCTAATATTATCTTGTACACTACGGCCAGAACGATCATTTGAAACTATAAATCTGATGTCATCTCCTGCCCTGGACATTAGTGTAGCTGACATTCCTTAGCATAGTACACAAGTCCCTTTAGGAGAGTGGACCACTCTAGCTCTTCTTCCTAAGTCTCCATTGCCTACACTTACCCTACCAGGTACATTGAACCGGCTAATTATAATCCCCAAAATGCACCTTATTCTTGTAACTCATGACTTTGTATAAGCCATTGACTCTGGAATATCCCATTCTCCTCTTCTTACCATACTCCTTCCCAAAGTAAATTAGGTGGCTTCTCAATGTGCCCCTAATAGCCCTGTACACTACACTTTCTGTTCTATTTGGTTACAGATCTTCCCTTCCCACTACTTCTAATAAAGAAGTAGGAGCCATATTACAACAGTCTTGTTCTTTTTCTACCATAGTTATCTTAAACCATTTTTAAAAATTTCTTTGTCATTCTACAATCCCTCTTCTCATTTTTTTAACTAGCCCAGTGAGTTTAGATAGAAGTATACCTAGAAGGTCCTATGTACATAAATGAACTAGATAACAAAACTTCACACTGAAGGGAACATTCTAGAAGCATTTATTTCACTGCTGACCACTTGGTTACAGCATGCAACTCTCAACGGTGAGCTGCCACTCTGCACTCCTACAGAAGCACCGAATGCTTTGCTGCCACTATTTAGCTTTCCGGCCTTTCAAAGGCTTTTATTACCAACATCATTACTTAGGGACAACATTACTTTCAGGGACTTAACTTATTTTCTATAAAAAAAGAGTAACTTCATATTTCATGCACAAAATGCCAATTAGCAGGTTTAGGTCCAAAATGGAAAGAAAAAAATTTTATTCTAGTTCTGGAAATTATCAGGAATAAAGTAAGCATTTCTCCTTGCCTTATTACAAGGAAATAGAATTTTTGTCTCTATCAGGAATCAGGACAGTAGCTTTGGTGACCCCATAGTTATAAAATTACTGACTGGTTAAAGTTCTTTCCAAAGATGTTAAGAAGTTGGCTCATTTTCCTGTACAATTTAAATAAATATTTGCAGTATTTGTAGGAGTTACAGGTTATACTGCAGATCCTTGTGACAATACTGAAAAAGCCTACTCTCCCATTTAAAAAATTCTATCTCAGAAGGTAAAAGGAAATCCCCATTATCCCTGAGCAAGGAAGAGAAAAATCATAGGTACTTTGTTAAAAGAAACCACTATAAATGAGTTACATAGCTCTAGATCATTCTCAGAGAATTTACATAAACTGAAGCAGGTGTGAGGAGCTCTCCACTTTTTCAGATAAATGTAGTATTTAGTAGTTTGAGTAGTCACTCCACAAAAACCTTAAATTTAATTAACTACATAGCTGAACATCCTTCATTTTGAAATCTGAGACTGTCCTGAGAGGATGCTTATGGGACATGAAACTACTGGGCAAGAATTTTAAAAATGTTAACAAATCGTAGCAAGGAGAAAAGACAGTGAGAAAACCGTGACGGAGAAAGTGAGAAAGGGGCAGGACAAAGCTGTAGTTATGAGCTGAGTCTTTCTTTTCCTAAGTCAGGGGCCTCCAGCTTTACGTATGCTATGCTCACTCATCTTAATATAAACCAGATGCTGAAAAATAAAATAAAGAATGTCCCAAACAAATTTAAGTCTTGTAAGGAATAAATGACAGAAAACACTTTAGCTTCTTAATCAAGGAGTGCTATAATATAATTTCAAGGCATCTTGATATAATTCGTTTAACCCTAAAGCAATTGTGCAATAAGCAAAATATAAAAGAAAAATAACAAAGGTTAACTTGCTACAGGGGCCAACAGAAAAGGTCTTTGCAGCACAGCAATTAACCTTCACATACTGGAGTCTTACTTTAAAGGCCATCAAAAAACTCAGATTACTGAAAATTACAAAGGTCACCAACAAAAGGAATGTTGATCAGATAGAGTCAAAAACCTGCCCAGAGGACTGCCTTCTCCGAAGGAATTTCTGACTGTTGCTAGCACAGGTTGGTTAAGTTAAATCTCACTGATGGCTCCGATTGAGAATGAGAATTCCCCAGTCAGTGCTGTTTTAAAAATGTAAAACAACTGGGAAAGAAAACAGAAAACGAAACAATCTACTGTTCCCTAACATACATGGCTTAGTACCCAGAGAAAGCCTCTGCCCCCAAAAGAGACTTTCTACATAGGGTTAAGCTTTATTAAATGAGGTGTAATCTTTCACTTTCAGGATATGTCTTTTCTTGCAAAGTCCTTAGAGGCATAAGTTCCACTTGGATTCTAATACACATCTCCGTGAGCTCAGCTTCCTGAAAACATACACCTGCTGGGTTCTAGGCGCTCCCTTGCCAGTGCCCGGATTCACTACTTCACAGCCACCAGAATCGCACATACACTATTAACATGATGAAAAACACAGCTACTGCTGCAAGTTTGGCGTAGGTGGACCGCATGTTCAAGTACTTCGCATCCTGGCGGTATTTCTTGGACAGACTGGACAAATTGTTAGCCTTTGAATCCAATGCTGTCAAAGAAGAAAAATGGAAAATATTAATTAGTACATGGAAATATTTTATCAAATGTATTAAGATATAAAGATAACCAAAATGAGTGATATTATACCAAACCACCATGAAGCTTAAATTATCATTTTTAAGGGTAAGGTAGTATGTACTGATTAATCCATGATACTGAAGTACTGAAAAATCTACAATGTACTTTATTTTTTTAACTATATTCTATTGGTTATGCCACTATAGTTGTCCGGATTTTTCCCCTTTGCCCCTTCCCACACAGCACCTCCTACTCCCTCAGACAATCCCCCCACCATTGTTCATGTCCATGGATCATACATGTAAGTTCTTTGGCTGTTTCATTTCTTGTACTGTAGTTTATATCCCCATGGCTATTCTGTAACTACAGGTTTTCACTTCTTAAACCCTTCACCTCTTCACCCAACCTCAACATCCCCCTCCAATCTGGCAACCATCAAAACACTCTCGATATACATGATTCTGTCTCTGTTCTCATTTGCTAAGTTTGTTATTTACAGTCAATCATTGATAAGATATATTTATTGACATTTTGTTGTTCACTGTCTTGAACTTCTTTTTCTTAAGTAGTCCCTTTAACATTTCATATAATAATGCTTTGGTGACAATGAACTCTTTTTGTTCTTGTCGGGGAAGCTCTTTATCTGCTCTTTGCTTCTAGATGATATCTTTACTGGGTAGAGTAATCTTGGCTATAGGTCCCTGCTTTTCATGACTTTGAATATTTCTTGCCAATCCTTTCTAGCCTGCGAAGTTTCTTTTGAGAAATCAGCTGACAGTCTTATGGGAACTCCTCTGTAGCTGACTGCTTTTCTCTTGCTACTTTTAAGATTCTATCTTTAACCTTTGGCATTTTAATTATGATGTCTTGGAGTGCATCCATCTTGTCTGGGATTCTCTGTGCTTCCTAGAATTGTATGTCTACTTCCTTCATCAGATTAGGAAAGCTTTATTATTTTTTCAAATAGATTTCTAATTTTTTGCTCCTCTCTTCTCCTGGCACCCTACGATGCAAATGTTGGAATGCTCAAAGTTGTCCCAGAGGCTGCTTACACTATCCTTTTTTTGGAATATTTTTTTTCTTGTTGTTCTGATTGGTTGTTTTTTGCTTCCTTATGTTCCATATCATTGATTAGATTCTCAGTTTCATCTACTCTACTGTTGTTCCCTGTAAATTGTTCTTTATTTCAATCAGTGTGTCCTTTGCTTCTGACTGGATCTTTTCATATTGCTGAGGTCCTCACTAAGTTCCTTGAGCATCCTCATAACCAGTGTTTTGACCTCTGCATCTGATAGATTGCTTATCTCCATTTCGTTTAGCTCTTTTTCTGGAGTTTTGATTTATTCTTTCATTTGGGTCATGTTTCTTTGTCTCTTCACTTTGGAAGCTTCCCTGGGCTTGTTTCTATGTATTATGTAGAGCTGCTATGACTCCGTTTCGGTAGTGTTGCTTAATATAGTAGGTGTCCTGTGGGGTCCAGTGGCATAGCCCCCACTAACACGTAAGCTGGGTACTCAAGGTGCACCCTTCATGTGGGCTGAGTACACCTTCCTCTTGTAGTTGAGCCTTGTTTGCTATTAGCAGGTCAATGAGAGGGAATTACCCAGGCCAGTCAGTTGCAAAGATTGGCTGTGACTGCAGACCACCAACCTCCATCCTCCACAGAGGATCGGTTGTGCAGCAGCAGGGTGGTGGTGCTCTGATGTGGTCTGTAGCTGTCTACTGGGTGCACTGGCCCTGTGGTTTCCCAGGCGGTACAGGCCAAGGTCAGCCCCCACATGTATTTTTCCCAGGGCAACCTTGTCTGAGCTATAAAGCAATCTGGGATGGCTACTATTGTGCTGGGCTTGGAGATTCCCAGGGGAAGCCAGGCTGTGAATCTAGGCCGGCTGCCACTAGTGCCATGTCTGGAGCCACTTAATAAAAGGTACAGGGGCTGGTAGCTCACTAAGTCCACCTGTTGCTTGTTTGAAAGATTTAGGAAGTTGTGAAGCATAAGCCAAGACCAGCCATTCATACAGAAAAGCTACTGTTAACAGCTGTAAGTTGGGTGGGATGGAGCCTCAGGGGATCTCCAGGGCAGTACAGTATTAGCCACATTGATGGATTTTCAGATATGGGACATATTTGCTGGCTCTGTGGCTCTGAGCACCTTTCTGTCTAAAAAAAATGCTGTTGCCCCAGCTCTCACCTTGATGCTAGACACTTCAGTTCCTCCCTGTATGGTGTGGTACCTTTCAAGCTGCTACCCTGATGCTGGAGCTTAGAGGAAGTGAGTCTGAGTAAGTTTGTGGGTGGGTTCTTTAAGTGGAACTGCTTGGGACTCTAGAATTTTCTTCCACTAACTCAATCCCTGCTGCTTTTTGCAGCCAGAAGTTATGGGGATTTATCTTCCTGGCACTGGCCCTGGCTGGGGGGCCTGGTGTGGAGCTGGGACTCCTCACCCCTGAGATATTCCTCCCGGAACTTTTATCCACCACCCATGGATGTGGGGCCAGCCTGTTCCATCTCTGCCCCTCCTACCAGTTTGGATGGATGTGGTTTCTTTAATTCTGTAGTTGTCAGACTCCCACTAAACTCAATTCCTGCCACTTCTGAGTGATAGTTGTTGTGTATTTTAATCATAACTTTGATGCGGCTGAGCATGATGAGCTATGTTTACCTATGCCCCCATCTAGACCAGAAGTCCCTCTACTATGCATTTTAAAATTATCAGGCTAAATTTTGCTCAAATTCTTGAGACTGTATAGTGAAATGGTTAGGAGTGCAGACTTTGGCCTCTGACTCTTTGGTTCAAATTTCAGATGTACTGGCCATGTGACGTTGGTCAACTCAGCCTCTCTAAATATCCAGTTTCATCATCTATTCAACATATAATGGGGATAACAGAAACTTATCACCAGAGTACAGGTACGTGAGAATGTCTCTAAAGTGAGTGCAATGCCTGAATACAATAAACATCTGAGACATGCTGGCTGTCCTAAGCATCTCCATAATCTTTCAACAGTCTAAATCATATTATCATATTATGAAAAATAATAACATATGTAAATAAGACTCATGAACCCAGAAAATTCAAGGAACCAAACACTAAGCTTTATTTCAATGGTGAATGCCAAATTTCTAAGATTCTCCAGCAATTATATTCAACAGACTTAAGAAAGTTGTATTGTACTTAAAATACAATAATAGGTGCTACAATACTACTAATTTCTACTAAATCAAGCTTTTTAGAATCTTTTGCAACATTTATTTTTCCTACAATGACATTTGTAATGTCATTATCTTCTTGTAATTGTGAACTGAGCACTTAGAGAAATAGCCAAACAGACACAAGCTAGACTGGAATAAAGTATACAGCATACTTTAATAATAAAAACGGGTAGAATAAAACCTCTCAGTTTGACATTAATGAATTTTGATTAAACATTGCACTTCTTTAAATTTTTGAATAACTATTTTGCAATCTGAATTTGCTTGTTCTCCTTCAGAGAATGCTTTTGGAATATTTGCAGTTGCCTAATAGAGACTGGTTTGATTGAGAAATATGCCATTACTTAATAACGCAGGCATGACAGCCACAGCTAAATTATCAACTTGTCTACAAGAAAAACACCTACTCATGTTAAAAAAAAGTTATAGGCTGAGAAATAACCATGACAGTGCTGTAAGGAACCTTTCTAACCTGTCTACTAGAGTGTATAACCTACTGGACAGAGGTTTTTAACTACTATGTTGACAGCTATATCGCCAGTAACTAGGACAGGGTCTGGCATGTAGTCAGTGCTCAAGAAGAAAATCTTTAAGTGAATCTAAATCCACTGGGAATAACTGCGCAGAGGAACATACATATGAAATATGAAATAAGTAATAGGTAAGGGAATTCCTTTACACAGGAACATTTAGAAGTACACCATAGCATTAACACAAAGCTACTGCTGAGAAAAGTCATTTAGGAAATATGTGAAGGCACTATGTGAAGTGCCAGGGGATACAGTGATGGTCAAACATGGTTTTTTGATCCCTGTATTTGTGAAATTTACAGTCTAGCAGGGTGACCCTTTTGAATGAAATCCATGGCTTAAAAGAAACAGTATATTTAGGCAGTAAAAAAGGGCATAATTTGATCTTCCTAAAAAGAACCCATAAGAACTATTCTTGGGTCTTAAATGCAAAGTAGACTAACTATAAAACTTAAAAAAATTGGAAGAGAAGCAGGCATAAAAGATGGGTTCTTATTATGAAGAAGCTTAAAGAATAAAATTTTTTGAGGTAGGCTCATTTTTTCACTGTCCCTCTCATATGCTCTGTTCAGAAATGCTTTTTCTTCCTCTTAAAATACACTCTTCATTCCTTCCTGATTTATCAAATTTCAAGAAATCTTTCCTGCTCAGTTCACATTTACCTACTTCCTTCTGCATTTTTATAGTTCTCTTGGTCTATATGTCTATTTAAAACTGTCCTGTGCTGGAGATAGACAACTCTGTGGCCAACAATTTCCACCAGGCACTAGCAGGGGGACTTTTAGTAAGCTACTAAACTTTTCTGAGTTTCTGCTGCTTTATCTGTAAAACTGATTTGATACCATGCACCTCACCTGGGATTACTCAAAGAATACGTAAGATATATACAGATATTTACCAGATATTTACCATACTGCCTGGCACAAAGTGTTCAATTGATATTTGTTTCCTTATACCATCTATACATTGCTCTGTGACAATGTTTCTTATTTTCCCAATCAGATCAAGTTACTTTAGAGTATAAATTATTTCTTTTTATTTTTTTGATTTTATTTATTTATTTTTAGAGAGAGGGGAAGGGAGGGAGAAAAAGAGGGAGAGAAACATCAGTCAGTGCCTCTTTCATGCACCCCAACTGGGGACCAAACCTGCAACCCAGGCATGTGCCCTGACCAGGAGCCAAATCAGCAACCTTCAGCTTTGCGGAACAGTGCCCAGCCAGCTGAGCCACTCTGGCCAGGGCTTAAATGTACATTTCTTTTTCAATCAGCATATCAGCCATGTAACAACCAGCAAAGCCCTAGAAGAGAATTCTTTACGCTTATGATAAACTAATCAATGTAGTATATATTTTGAATTTTAAAAAATTCCTGTGCACGTCTACTTTATCTCGGATAGAAACTGTAAGTCTGTTATGATGAAAATATACACAGACTCACTCAAAATTTGATGTTTAAAGAATGTGAAGCTATACACTGGGACAACTTCTCACTACTAACATAAAGGTTCAATTTTGCAATATATAATTTTAAAAATATATTCATGAATAGGTAACAAGGTTAAATTTAAGAAATATTAAGATATCTACTTGTGATCACTACTATGAGGCATAAAAGAAGTATATGAAATAGACATGAAACATAAGCACTACCTTTAAACACTTCAGTTAACATTTAAACACTTATATAACATTTCAACATTAAATATAAATATACACTATATATTAAATATATATTTATATTTCAGGTAAATAGGTAAACAAGAACATCTACACATTTATACACCAATGCCCCATTATACGCCAAAAAACCCACACATGTAGCTAAGTGCTTTAAAGAGTTTAATGTGATGTGAGCTATAAGGATCAGAAAAGCCTTCTGCAAAGAGAAAGGTCTTGCCTGGGCCAGCTCACTTGGTTAGAGCGTTATCCCAATGCATCAAGGTTGCAGGTTCAATCCCCAGTCATGGCACACATAAGATCCAACCAATGAATGCATAAATAAGTAGAAAAACAAATCAATACCTCTCTTCTCTCTCCCCACCCCCTTCTTCTCCCTCTAAAAAAAAATCAGTTAAAAAAAAGAGAGAGGTAGTTGTTATCTAGATTTTAAAGAACAGTTCCAGGATGACCAGAATGAGTCAGAATGTTTGTGAACCAGGAAGGAGAGCAGCTCGTAATCTCTTTATCTTCCATCACAGAGAACACAGTGCTTTGCCCACTGCCAAGTACTCAATAATGATGCCTGACTGAATGAAAAGTAAGTTGAGGCCAGACTAGGTCTTATCTTGCAGTAAGAGATTTTAAAGTTTTTCAGCTGAGGAATGCCTTGATGAAAATGGCATTTTATAACTTTTGCTCTGGCAGCAGTAAAGTCGCCCAAAGTGCCTACTCAGGAAACCACTGCAACAGACAATTTCCTCTCATTCTTCTTTTCATTTCCCTTAACTTATGTAGGTGTTCCTGTAAATACTTAATTTTGTAAATATCTTAGACACAGTAATTACTTCTGATATGGAACGATATGCTTACACAGTTCCAACTCCGCAAAAACTAACCACGCTAGGAAAAAACGTATTGGAAGTTTTACAATGTAATCTATTTCTGAGAGATGAATTCATAACAGTGCTCAACAGAATCTTACAGCATAAAAGGTACCCCAACCTAAGCTATCCTTGCCTGTGGACATCTAGATTTTCCGCAGGCAGGGCTATCAGGATGAGAACCACCTCTTCAGAAGACCCGTTATCGCTTTCAGGTACCTGAGAGTGCTTCTCCTCGTTGTAAGACTTCTTCAATATTGGCCACCATAAGTCTCTGCACATCTTGTAATTCAGTGTTGATGGAGCCTAGGTTTCTCCGAGCACGGCTGTCGATGTAGAGCTTCTTGGTTTTCTGAATGTAGGTCTCTAGAATGATAAAGAAAAACAGCCATTAATGACTTCTTTCGTGTCCTTCAAAGTACTGAAGTAGGCAATACAGAGTTCTGGGTTCAGTCCTCGATTGCACCTCTCCATGGTTAAATCCAGCACTTGAATGAGTATCAAAATTTGACTTCTGATGTCTTCATTTGTAAAATGTAAAAATATAATCAGATAACCCTTCAGAAGAAATGCCATTTGTACAACTCTAAATTAGAAGTATCTGCTCTCAGATCCTTAGAGAAATTAAGACCCGCTACTGTAGCCCTTCCTGAAAGCAGAAATTTTCAAAGTGTATTCCAAGCACCCGAAGGGTTTCATCACTTAACTTGACACATTCCCTGAAAAGGATGCTGGCAATCATCTAGCATGTCTACAGGCTAACATGACAAAAGAGTCACTCCATCATTCAAAAGTCGAAAAAGCCTTGGCTGGTGTGGCTCAGTGGATTAGATTCCCAGCCACACATGCCTTGCTGTGGGCCAGGATCCCAGTAGGAGGCAACCACACATTGATGTTTCTCTCCCTCTCTTTCTCCCTCCCTTCCCCTCTCTCTAAAAATAAATAAATCTCTTTTTAAAATTGAAAATATTGTCTTAAAGTATTTTCTTTAACATACATTCCCAATGTCACTGTTTGTAAACTTCAGGTAAAGCAAACATGTGTTAGGGTGTTTCCCAAATAGCCACTATAAAACTGCAGTCTCATGCATATTTAGTCCACGTCTAAACCTCTCAAAAGTATAAGAATGACATTATTATAGATTATATACTTAACATTTGGCAAAAATCTTAAACTGTGTGTGCTGGGTGCCTTCCATTTGCCCCTGTAGATCTCCTCTCCACCGTCTGCACCCCACTTTTGCCTTGGGAAGCTGACCTACACAGGCTATATCCATGGGCTCCTTGTCCCACGGTGTCCGGTTAGGTTCAGCCAAAGGGGCGGCCCCGAGAGCAGGAAAGAAGAGCGAACAGTGATGTTGGTGTATGTATCCTCTAGCTCCTCCCTGAGAAGTCACCTTGAGCTGGCACCATTCGCCCACCAAAAGTTACAACTCAAGTTGGCCTTCTTTTTTTTTCCTAATGGTTTATTTATTTATGTTTAGCGAAAGGCGAAGAGAAGGAGAAAGAGAGGGAGAGAAACATCAATGTATGGTTTGCCTCTTGCATGCCCCTAACCAGGGACCTGGCCCACAACCCAGGCATGTGCCCTGTCTGGGAATCGAACCTGTGACTCTTTGGTCCACAGGCCAGCACTCAGTCCACTGAACCACACCAGCCAGGGCTCAAGTTGGTCTTTATAAGTTTTCTCCCTCCCCAATCCTTCCTCTCATCCCTCCATGCCTAGGGATGATAATGATTACTGTCCAGTAAGTACCCTGCAGTCCTCCTATATCCATTCACATCTTTGCATATAAATCTTTAACCTAATTTGAGTGTATCAACTATTTCCTGTTGACCTTGACAACAGTAGCTTATCTTTTTCTTGGGTTTACTGGACCGCTATTATCTATAAAAGTAAAACTTGAAAAAACAAACATTAAAAAAAATTAGCACTTGGAGAGTTTGGAGTTATAAAACACTGGAGTATTTTGCTAAATTTTATTTATTGCTAAAAAGCAAATGATCTTATCTAGAAAACCTGGAACATTTCAGAAACTCAGAGACAGTAAAAACCAATTTCTTTTTTTTTAACTAAAAATGTCAGTGATGTAGTCTGAGCATACTTGTTCTCACTTCCTCCACTTGCTGTACTCAGGACATTCCCTCTGACCTACTGCCATCAGATACTTTAACAGATCTGAACAGTGACGAGTCTGTCATTCTTACATAGATATCAACACCTGTGTTTACTACTTCTGCACGTAGTAATGTTACCCGCCAATGACATCTATCTTCTAGTATTTTTCTTTAAAATTAGCGAATCTTGCTTTTCTCCGAGAAACAAAACATCATTCTTCTGATTTTCAAATTCTGACCTCCATAAAATGAGCCTTACTGTGAGTGTGCAAGTGTGTGGATGTGTCTGTGGGTTTGGGGAAAGAACTCAACTATTACATGCCAATCAAGCAGATCTTCAGGCACAGTTCTTGAGCCTAATGAAGAATCAAACCAAATAACCAAAAAGGGCAAAGGGTAACGAGTTCTGTGGGGAAAAGATCAAAAGCCCAGAGAAAATTACTTATAAGAAGAAAGCCCCATTCATTCAAAAGAACAAGAAGAGGTAGAATGGGAGAGGCAGAATCCACTACTTCAGTAAGTAAACATCAGTACAATTATGTGAAAATTATAGCAGCGTAACAAAAAGCTTTTTCCATATTCTTTGCTCCCTTTGCTCCTTGATATAGAGGCGAGGAGCAAACACTTACCGAACTCAATGAAGCAATAGGGTCTGGACACAGTGGGCACCTTCTTCCCATACTGTTCATCAAACTCTGAGTGCAAATCTTCTAGGTAGGCAAAAGCCAGCTTCTTAGGGAAGGTAGCTTCACACAAAACCAAATAGCACACTCCTTGCTCAATAATGTAACTGGAGGAACAAAAAAGCAAGAAAAACTTTTTTGTAGAGTAACAATACCTCTAACAATCTGAAGCAGACTCTCAGCGCCATACAAACTTTTAAAAATATTCTAACTTAAGCCCTTTGAGGATAACTAAATCAGAAAGCCAACTCAAAACCACAAATTCTTGGAATCAGAAGCAAATATCTTTCCATTACTAGAAGTATATTGCAAAAGGAGTATCTAGACATGTTTATTACAATTACCTATTCACTATATAATTCAACTAAAATATCCTAATACCTAAGGCTTTTATCTCTAAACCATGGAGTTGTGACTATATCCATCCTTTGATTATGTATGATATACTAGTATACACAGTTTCAAACTCCTCCTAGCTGTAAGAAAAACAGTGAAACTAAAAAATTATGTGGCTACTTAACAGTTAGAAGTTAATGCCACAATATTACTGGGTACAGAAAACAACCACCTCAGGACTAGAGATATTCCCTATCTAGGGTAGGTATGCTCTGTTCAACTGGAAACTACCCAGTAACAGAATGACTTCCTCTTGTGAGAGTGAGCAGTGAGTCTCCTGGCCTTCTGGAAGGCGCTTCATGATTACATTCCTGACATACCCTTGGAAAGAAGTTAGGCTACTCAGTGATTTTTCAAATGTCTTTTTAGCCACTATACTTTTTCTTTAGCAAAAATTACATTCAGGAAACCAATATGTATAGTAAATAAAATAAGTTATTTAGTTTAAGTAGGAGTCTAAGGGCCTAAAGTATTACACATACCCCGCTCCTAAGGCACCCTAGAACTCTATGGAGTAGTATTTACAGTCTATTATGTGATCTCTCAGGCCCTTGAAAACAATGATGATGATAATAAATAATTACGGTGATGACGATGACAATAATAATAACACTGCTGTCCTATCTCTCACTTGGGCACTGAGTTAACTGGTCTCCTTGCCATCAGTCTAGACCATCTTCTAATCTAAACCATTGGTTTTATTCCTAACAAGTGAAAAGACTGTGTTACCCTACTTAAAATCTTAGGGGTCCCCAGTACCTGTAACCCTCCAACACAAGTGTAGACCACATTGCGTCATATTTCCTAATACACTATATGACATGCTGTTCTCCAACCAGCTAGGTTAGTTCCCATCCTCGTGGACTTCTACTTACATAGTTTTATTATAACTATAATACCCTTTTATGTACCTGAGGAAACCTTATTAATTTTCATATGCTCAATTCTACTACAATTTTTCTATGAAATTTCTTTATAGTCTCCCTCTATCCCCTTTCCTCAAATTTACTCCCTACAAATGAAAATGTATTGCTTCGTTCTCTCTGTTCCCAAAGGATTTCAATTATATCCCAATGGTAGCATTTCTTGCCTTACAGTTGCTTGCATATGCATCTCTCTGCTAATTAAGAGGATAAGTTCATTAAAAGCTATGGCCATTAAAGACAGGACTTAAAACATAGTCTGCCAAAGAATAAATCTTTAGGAAATAGCTCTTGGATGGAAATGAAGATTGAGATAAGTATAAAAGTCCTAAAGAAACAAAGCAAAAGGAAATCTCTTTCCAACTCTATGAGAACTCTCCTAGGCTTTTTGTTTCTTTCGTTCCTAACCCATGATTGATAGAAAGGTACTATATACTTAAATGCCTGTAACTTTTTGACATTAAAAATTAGATTTATAGAAAACATTTTATATACTACACAAATTAATACCTTATAAAACTTAATATCCACTATTTTAACCACTAGGCCATGGTTTTTTGTTTTGGTTTTGTATGCTTATTTGATTATCTTTGATGGGTAAAGATTTTTTTTCCTTTTAAGTTGAATACAGAGAGTCCCAAAGAAGTTGGACCCAAGAAGAAACACACCAAGGCACATTATAATTACATTAGCCAAGATTAAAATGAAGGAGAGAATCCTAGAAGCAGCAAGAGCTAAGGGGACAGTCACCTACAAAGGAGTTCCCATCAGACTGTCAGCTGATTTCTCAAAGAGACCTTACAGGCAAGAAGGGGCTGGAAAGAAGTATTCCAAGTCATGAAATCCAAAGACCTACATCCAAGATTGATCTATCCAGCAAAGTTTTCATTTAGAATAGAAGGACAGATAAAGTGCTTCTCAGATAAGATCAAATTCAAGGAGTTCATCATCACCAAGCCCTTATTATATGAAATGTTAAAGGGACTTACCTAAGAAAACGAAGATAAAAAAGATGAACAGTGAAAGGACAGCAAACTCACAGTTATTAACAACCACACCTAAAACAAAAGCAAACTAAGAGGACAGCTAGATCAGGAGCAGAACCATAGAAATGACGATCACATGGAGGGTTAGCAACGGGAGTGGGAGCAGGAGAAGGGGGAGAAGGTACAGAAGATAAGTAGCATAGACAGTAGATAGAAAATAGGTGGGGGGAGGGCAAGAATAGTATGGGAAATATAGAATCTAAAGACCTTGAGACACGTGGTCATAAATTAAAGGGAAGAATGGTAGGGGAGGGGTGTGCAGGGTGGAGGGGAATGAAGGAGGAAACAGAACTGTAATGGCATAATCAATAAAATATATTTTAAAAAACTAAAAAGAACAAACTGATAGAAAGCAGACAGGAGCAGGGAGAGAAATAACATGGGAAAGAAGGGAAAGGGTCATAAATGAATATGTATAAAGGACCAATGCATAAAGCCAAAAGGGGGGTAGGATTGTAGATGAGAGCTGGGGTCGGGTAGGGAGGAGAAAAGTGGTGGTGGTAAAATGGAGACAACTGTATTCAAACATTAATAAAAAATGAATTAAAAATAAAGTCGAATAGAATAAAATAAAAAAAAGGAAGGTCCCTCCCAAGTCTGTATTACCTTAGTTATCAGAGTTCTTAAAATAGCCAGGTTTACTAAGCTAGTCCTTTTACGTTTTTCTCTGCTCTTCTTGTCCTCTCTCTTTTTAAATCCTTCCTGTTTCATCATGTTCAAACTTCACATGTATTAAACATTTAATACCAATGATTTGTGAGTAATTTGAAATCCAATGATGTGCCTTTGATCCCTCTCTCAGCTATATGCATTATCTACAATCACTAATTGGAATGCTCTGAAAGTGTTCTTTATAATTTTTTTCTAAGTAATAACTAACGGTTACTGACTATTCTCTACGTGCCAGGCAAACTATTAAATGATATACATGGATTCCCTCCATGTATAATCTAAACTATGATTATGTTTCCTATTTTATAGAGGGAACTGAGGCTGGGAGAAGTGTATGTGAATTTTTCGAGGTTACATTGTTAGTAAATGTTTGATCAGGGTACTACCCTACATGTGTCTGGCTCTATGAATGTCCTAAAGCAAAAAGCTACCTATCATTGCATTGTATGATAGGTACAGCATTCACTAGACATAGGATAACAGGTTAGATTACTGTGTGAAAGTGGAATAAACAAACCAGGATTCCAGTTTTATAGAATTAGAGCTAGGGAAGTTGCTTCCATGAAGAGACTGTACTTTTAAAGTTACCTTCACTTTTAAAAAATGGTTACCATTCTCATCAGGTGTTACTTACACTCACTATTATTTCACACTTAAATGATCACAGAGAAATCAGGGTTGTACTCACTGAAAAGTCATGGTGCCGGCTTCCAAGGTGCATCTGGTTGGGGACTGTTCGTTCAACTTTCGAAAGAGCTGCTTAGCCTGACTCTGGTACTTCTGAAGATCTCGGACAGACTGAAAGAAGACACTTTCAGTTAAGAATCTTCTACACACACACTCAAAAAATTATAAATTAGTAAGGAGCATCAGAGTATGAGAAAGGACTATGTGAACAAGGTCCTTCATTTACAAGTTAGTAAGATTCATTTTAACAAACACACACACAGGCCTACTTTTATACCAAAAGAGAAAATCAAACTCCTAGTTTTCAAGAAAATCATATTAGTTATTTGCTAACAAGAAAACGTACACTTTTCAACTATATTTAAGGCAATCTTAACTTTCTTTTTGTTGTTGTGCTTTTAGAAAATAACCTCTTTTTAAACTTTTCAATTAGTTTACATTCAGTATTATTCTGCATTGGTTCTGGATGTACAGCACAGTGTGCTCCCCATAATGTTTCCAGTACCCACCAGGCCCCATAACTGGTTATTACAATGTTACTGACTATACTCCCTCTGCTGTCATTTACATCTCTGAGGTACTCTAAACTTTCAATCCAGTGTTCTTTCCACTATTAAGCCAGTGCCTCCTCATAACCCACTTCACTTGTAGAGTTACTGGCACAGAACTGTACTCGGGACTTGTTCTGTACTTGGGAAAAATCTTGGGAACAGCGAACTGGTTTTATTTTTATGCTGGAATGTCAAGCAAAACCTTTCACCAAGTGTTACAGTACTGATGAGCATTTCAGCAAAAATAAATGTGTGCACCAATGACTGTTCAAATTCTTATGAACACTGTAACTGCAACTAAATAAAAATGAAAAGTAAGGACAAAGATTAGTCAAATATCCTTTACTGAATAAATATTTGGTTCCCAAGTCTGGATAGCAGAAGTTTGAAAAGCAAGGGATATGTGCATAAAAACATGAAAATAATATTCAGGTGCTAGAATTACAGGTAATATTTCCCTGAACAATTTCTATATGATTTTATAATTTTGTTTTTTAAAAAAGAGGGGAAAAGGAGAAAAATCATCTCTCACCAATGCACAAGCTCCAAAAGGGAGAAGAACGCATGAAGAATGGAAAGCAAATATGCATTACTTTTTCACCTACGTACTGGGGGGAAACTCCTGCCATGTGATGGGAAGAAATTATTTTATTTGGGGATTATTTATTTTGGTTTGAATGATAGCTACAGTCTCTCCTTGATAGATGTTTAATAACTACATGTTTAATAGAAAGTGTTTATGCAAGGTTTGCCCCCAGTCTGGATGTGAGGTCTAATATTGAAAAAGTATAAAATTAAATCTTAAAATTCTAGATAGTAAACCACTGACCTATAAGAGTAAACACAAAGAAGCAATAAAAAATGGTTTAAGTGGCAGATAAGTAATGTACCAGTATAGCTATATTTAAAATGGTAAACTGGAAATGCAAATCAAACCCACAGTAAGATACCACCTCACACCTATAAGAATGGCTAATATCAAAAAGATTAAGAAATAACAAGTGGTGGGGAGAATATAGAGAAAAGGGAACCCTCTTTCACTGTTGCTGGGAATGTAAATTGGTACAACCGCCATGAAAACAGTATGGGATTTCCTAAAAAAATTAAAAATAGAACTACTGCCCTGACTAAGTAACTTAGTTGGAGCACTGTCCCATACACCGAAAGGTTGCAGGTTTGATTCCTGGTCAGGGAAACGTGCCTAGGTTGCAGGTTTGGTCCCCAGTTGTTGGGACACCTATGGGAGGAAGCTGATTGATGTTTCCCTCCCACTTTGATGTTTCTTTCTCTCTTTTTTCTCCCTCCCTGCCCTTCATTTCTCTCTGAAATCAATGAACATGTCCTTGAATGAAGATTTAAAAAACAAAACAAAACAACTATCATAAGATCAGTGATTGCTCTTCTGGGCAGTTATCCAAAAAAAATGAAAACAACAATTTAAAAAGATATATGCACCCTTAACATTCATAACATTTAAGTAGCAGATATATGGAAACAACCTAAGTGCCCATTAATGGATGAAAAATGGATGAACAATGGATGAAGAAGATGAGTATATATACACAATAGAATACTATTCAGCCATTAAGAAAATGGAATCTTATCATCTGCCACGTGATGGATGAACCTTGAGCGCATTACACTAAGTGAAACAAGTCAGAAAAACACAAATACCATACAACCTCACTTATATGTGAAATCTAAAAAACAAAACAAACAACAAAAAAACCGAAGCTCACAGATGCAGAGAACAGACTGGTGGTTGCCAAAGGGAAGGACAGTAAGTGGTAAAAATGGCTGAAGGGATCAAAAGGTCCAAACTTCCAGTTATAAAATAAATAAGTCCTGGGGATCTAATGTACTGCATAATATTAATAAAATATTAATAATAATGTATTGCATATTTGAAAGTTTCTAAGAGTGAATTTTAAATGTCCTCATTACAAGAGAAAAATCATAACTAGGTATGGTGCTGGATGGTAGCTAGATTTATTGTGGTGACCATTTCACAATATATACAAATATTGAATCACTATGTTGTACACCTGAAACTAATATGATGTTATAGCTCATTTGTGCCTCAATAAAAAAAATTAAACAAATTGGTAACCTGAAATTTTAAATTTAAAATTAAAATAAAATAAAATAAAATGGTAACCTGAAAATTTAAATATGAATAAGGAAGTAAATAAGCATGAGGTGAACCAGGAGAGTTAGGTGGAGCCCACTAAAACTATCATTTGGTATATTTATCTAGTTTAACATTGTTCTTATGACAATTATTTGTTATAATGCTGTTTACTTGAGTAATACTTCTTTATCAACATTTATGTTTATATATGCATGTACCTGTGTATATATGTACATATATACAGTTTCTTGTATTAACAATACTTTGAAATAATTAACATTATATACTATCGTTAAACAATATTACATACATACATATGCATTGCACACATATATGTATGCATATACATATGTGCATTTTTCATAACTGGTCAGCCAGTTATAAAGGAAAGTGTATATATCACATGCTTTGAACTAGTGCACAATATCCTATGTTCCTACGTTTGAACAGTACTTGCTAATTTGTTTGCTTCCCTCTGCCATTAAGTGGCATTCAGAAGAATTCTGACCCCACTACAATAGAGAAAAAGAATGTAAATAAAGTTGAAAACACTACTAAGGTGCCAAGAAATAATATTGACATAGATTAATGATTCTTAACCTTGGCTTTACAAAAGAATCACTTGGAGATCTTAAAAAACAAAGAAAAACCCCACTCACGCACAATTTCCATCCCCAATCAAATTAAACCAGCAAACTGTACATGGAACTCATACGTTGCTATTTTTAAAATATCTACAACCACAGATGTCTTTTTTGACAGGTAAGGCAGGTAAGCACCTTAGGTTTACTTTATATTTGAGAATTCAAACTTGCTCAAGGACTTGGAGCCAAAAAAAGGAAAGGGGATAGCATATGAACCCAAACAGAAGCAATCTAACTCTGGAACTCCTGCTCCTAAGCATATTATACCACTTCTTCCATCCAAGTACTAACCAGGCCCGACCCTGCTTAGCTTCCGAGATCAGACGAGATTGGGCATGCTCAGGGTGGTATGGCCATAGACAATATACCACTTCTTCAGTTGAAACTGCTTCATACCCTGGCTGGTGGATTGAGTGTTGGCCTGTGAACCGAACGAAGGGTCGCTGGTTCGATTCCCAGTCTAGGGCATATGCCTGGATTGTGGGCCAGATCCCTGGTGGGGGTTGCTCAAGAGGCAACCACACACTGATGTTTCCCTCTCTTTCTCCCTCTATTCCCTTCTCTAAAAATGAATAAATAAAACAAAATTTAAAAAAACACTGCTTCAATGATAGCAGATCCACCTCCTAGGTGCTATCTCACCATTGACTATTAATTGAATTCATAGGAAACGGTAAAAAAAAAAAAAAAAGCCCTGGCCACTATGATCTAAACCTCATAATAAAATCACTGCTTTACAGATAAACCCTCAGTTTGCTTTCAAGGTTAAAGTCACAGAGGGCCCATACTCAGTCTACCTAAAAATAGATTAGATATCCTAATTCTGTTTCCTACTTCATCCAGAAGAGACTTAAACCAGTATTCACTGTGATGGGGTATCTGTTAGTAATCCAATAATAAAGAGGATGTGAATGTCTGGACAAACTCTGAAACTAACCTGAGGTCGGTCATCCAGTAGCATATTTAGGATTTGGTTCTGTATATAATATAAAAAGTACAGGGTAGTAATTTGCCACACAACCACAATATTTTTTATTGCTGTCACTAGGACTGTGGAACAACCAATTGTATCAATCCCATCTTCTGTCTTACAAGAATGTTTAGCTAAACTCTTATCACTATTAAATTCCTGTTGAACTCAACTGGTCAAAGGCCAGAAGCACCAGAACCAACTGTTTTCCTCTAAAAGCAATTACAGCAAGGAGATTAATCAAAATTCGTTTAACTATAAACAGACTATCTGCTTTCTTGTTGCCTGCTAGGTCCTCAAGTCCACAGAGCTAGGGCAAAATAAAGAGAAGAGAATACAATTCACTTTGAGGTAGAACAGAAAGGTAGGTGAAGAAACTGCAAACATCTGAAAAGGAGAAACACAGCAGGATGGAAGAAAGAAAGGAAACAGAGGATCAGTTACAGATTCTAGGTTTGAAGAGAAACATTCCTCTTTTTACCTGCTGAGGCCCTCATTTCTAGTTAAGTACAGAGGAAACAGTGCATAAGATATTCTGCCTAAATCATTTTTTAACTTTACTCTCTATTGTATTATCTAATAGCCATTCAAATGCAGTAATAAGTCAGCTTGTACAGAGATTAGCACCTAGTAACTACCTAAAACATGGTTTCTATTTTATCAATGTTAATAATTGAAAGGTACACTGAATTATTTGGCCTGGACAATTAACGTATTTACCATAAAACTATTTGGTCAAGATATCCATTTCATAAAACTTATTTCTGGATTCCCAGGATGTAAATACATGATTAAAAAGCCTTAAAACAAGGCAGTAAAGTATAGCAGTTAGGTTCTAAGGCTGTGGTCTAGAGTCTGACAATAGTAATTAAAAACCAGTGGTTCCCAACCAGGTTTGATTTTGCTCCAACCCCTTCCAGGTACACCTGAGAATTTTTTTCATTGTCACAACTGAAGGGAGAGTGGAGGTAATGCTACTGGCATCTAAGGTATAGAGACCAGGGATGCTGCAAGACATTCTACAATGCACAGGACAGTTTCCCGCAACAAAGAATTACTCATCCCAAAGGGCAATAATGCCAAAGTTAAGAAACCTTGCTGAAAAATTCCACTGTGCTATTTGTAAGCTGTGTGACTTTACTCAGGAGACCTATCCTCTCTAAGCCTCAGAGCTTCCTTATCCATAAATTTGGATAATAACAGTACCTACTGGTATGAAAACTGAATGACATCATTCACTTAACAAGCTTAGCACAGAGCATTCTATAAACATTCTCTATAATACTGTACTGGTAAAAAATAGTCTACAGTTGATATTTTTGCAGATACTGAAAGTTTAGGACTTTATCATTCAAAGCCAACATTTCTGGAAGGAAATTACCAAGGAACTACAATCGCAAAAAATCTTTTTGTGTAAAGTTTCTTTCCTTGTCAACTGAACAAAGCAACCCACCTTGGTAAACCAATACCTAACTTGGAAAATTAAGAAACACACAATAATAGGTCAATTTTTCAATAAAGTATCAAGGTAGAAAGTAAGGGCCCACTAAAATTAAGTTGACTTCAAATCCATTTTGCATTCTTTGCCCTGAAATTCTTTACACTGAAATTCAATGCAGTAGTTCGAAAACTGACCTGACTTCCCTCACTTTGGGAAAACTATTCCTCAGTCAAATGACATATCCTTTAAGAAATATTTCCCACACCGTCCTGCTTATTAGAACCACATTCCACTCTAAACTTTCATTCTCTCCTTCTGCAGAGTGGTCTTAGAAAATCTTAACACACTGATTGATAAAGAGAAAAATATTTCACAATTTAAAATTAAGGGCATGCTTCATTTTTCATATATCAGTGTTTGTGTTGAATAAATAAAAAATATTTCACTGGGCATGACATGCAATTTCAAAATCTATGTCACTATTATTCTAAAAGCAAAAGTAAACATTTCTACATCAAACCTACAAAGGCATACAACCAAAGAGAACACTTCCTTATTACTAGACACTATGGTCAGTTTAGATGTCATTTCTTCTGAGACTTTCCTGATCTCCCCAAACCAACTTAGATACCATACCTTTTCCATGTTCAACCACAGAACATTCTTCCCCTCCTACAGCAATTACACTATATTATAATTGTTAGTTATCTGGCTTTTCTACTAAACTCTAAGCCCCATGAAAGTAGAGACTATGTCCCCTAACTTGCAGCATTAGCACACTTGATGTGCTCAGTTTTTCTTTTCATGAATATATGAATGAAAAATCCACAAAAACGGTATGTGCAAAATAATTCTTCCTAAGACTCACATTTTTTAAGGCCTTGAGGTATTTTTCCCCCTAAAACTACTTAGGTTGTAATATAAAATGGATTACTTTAAATACATTATAAAATCTCATTCTCAGCCTCCCTTCTTCAGGACCTTCCAACCTTGCTTCAGAAACCTGTCTCACACCAGAAATTTCTCTTGTGAGCCTGATCACAAAGGACCTCCCTTTCAAGATGTCTGGAGTTGTTGTTTTTTAATAAACTCAGTGTATTCTTGAGCACCTACCAGCATAAAGCTGCTGTAGTAAGTGCTACAGGAAACACAAAGATGACTAAAATCTGTCATTTGCCTGCTAGGAAACTCTATCAAGACAAAGGAAAATAATAAAGGTAGAATTCATAACAGGAATATTACACAGGAGTTATAATTCCAACAGTAAGAATTTACTGAAGAAGGTGCAATTCGACATAACCTTGAAAGAAAGGTACTGTACTGAACTTCAAACAGGTGCGTATATGTGGCAATATTACCTCACCCACTTTCAAAAGATGTCAGCAAGCTAGGTCAAGGATCAGGTGCTCAAGTTGAAGAATTTAGGAGCTGCTTTAACCCAGGACCTGTCACTCAACCTTATCAGCAGCAAATATTTAGAAATCCTGGATTTTGACAAAGTTCCTAAGAGTTACGGAAGACTAGGTGATCACAATCGGCCGAACCTATCCATTCTCCAGAGCGAAGTTTGTTCGTTTTAACAGAAACGAGTAACAGAAAAATCTACCTCCACCCTCAGAACAGATTTCTTCTAACAGGTAGTCTCTCCAAAGTCAAAAGATAAAAGCGAATTTCAAAGGGGACTGGAATGCCTGAGAAGTCACAAGGGTCTCCAGCATCCTAAGAAGGAATCGGGTGATGAGAGCACAACATTTCGGCAGGTACTTGGGGTCGCGGGGATCTAGTAGCTCACCTGTTCGTCCTCCTGTATCGAGGCGGCCAGCGGGAGCCCGTCCGCCACTCGGGCAATCATCGTGAGCAGTAACATCTTCACAGGTTACGGGGACCCAACACTGGCCCCTTCCTCCGCCGCTACAACAGTTCTTGCTCAACCTTAGTTCCCCAAGATCCAGCCCCTTACGTCTCCGCTTCCCGCTGAGGTGGCCGGAAACAAGCTCCAGAGCTTTCCACTACCGGTCCCCAGAATTGGCTTCCCACCGAGAATCACAACTACCGGAACACTAGTTCCGCGGTCTCTCCCTCCACCTTCAGAATCTTCCAAGGCCCAGCTCACTTTTCTGGATTTCAAACTTCCAATAAGCCTTAACCCCTGAAGGGACATGGCACACTAACTAAATCAGAATTTTCTAGTACTTGAAACTTTAAGTTCGGGGAGAGAGCTGGGAAGGAGGGTGAGAGTTGTTGGGTACTTAGATAAAGGGTGTATAACAGACAACAAAACAAAACAAAATCAAGCTACATCTTTTTCTTTTTTCCATTTTATTGATTTGAGAGAGAGAGAGAGGGAGGGGGAAAGAGAAAAATCCACCTGTTCCACTTATCCATGCACCCACTGGTTTTTTCTTCTGTGCACTCTAACCCCGAACCTTGCCCTATTGCGACAAATGCTCTGATTTATCCAGCCAAGGCTTACATATTTTCATATTTAATTTTTATTTTATGTATTATATATGCTATACATAATATTGTATATGTTCATATATTTCTAGGCAGAATTTTTTATCTTTTTTTTGCTTATTTGTTTGTGGTTCCCTAAGGGATCCTTGAACATTTTCTGGTAAAAAAAAAAAAATGTATATGTGAATAACTGATCTTAGGTCACAGCATCCATCAGGAGAATGCCAGAGTTGTCTCTTTTGAAACTGGCCGGAGTATTTAGACCTTAGGAACTTGAAATCTGATTTGCTTTTGCTTTTGACTTGCTCGGCATCATCTCGTTCACACCCAGGAGTTACCTTTGAAATCCTGCCCTTTGGTCCTTTCGGAGATACAGGACTAGGTAATGGCAAACACTGTGATCAAAATCGGGAAGGTTCTCAACTCTTTTACACTGAATGAAAAAAAGGGGGGTGGTAACAAACATTGTTCGGAACTTTAAAGTTTATGAAGCTTATGTATGTCCTTTGCCTGTAACCTGACAACACTGTGAAATGGGTCAAATACCAGGATCATGAAGCTTGTAAATGTACTGGGGCAGGCAACAGAATTCTTGAATATCAGAGCTGACAGCAAATTCTTCACTCTTATCAAAGAAACCGAGAAAGCACATATCTAGACCAATTTAAATTAAGCTGCTAAAACAGGACGACTTTCCATTGGCAGAAGATTGCAGAAATTTTACACGTGAGATCAAAGGAAGCAATAAAGTCTTGTGTCCATTTGTTCTTAAACAATTCTTGAGTTCCTAATTATATGCCAGACACTGAGCTAGGTTTTGAAGATGAATACCAATCCTAGAAACCTATGGTCCTTATGTACCCCCATATCAAACATTGTCGCTTAGGAGAAAAAGTCTCTAAGTAAACAGTAGCTCCTGTTCGAATTACATGATTGTTTAAATGGCGGGGGGCGGGGAGAGCGTTTCTCAGAAGGAGGTGAAGCTCTTAGAAAACGAAAATAGATAGCCACTATATTTGGACTGATATCCAGACATATACATTAGTACTGCGAACCAGTTACTAAAAAATTGAATCTCTTTCTTACAGATTAGTACACAGCAATAGTCCTGAATACCCGTGTTCAGCCCCACCTACCACCCCTCCAGCACCAGAACTTTTCCGGTTCTGCCTCCTCAGTTCACACAGGTTAGGTTCTGATCCGTGGGTTTCTATGCCAGTCAGCTTCAAAAACTCCGCCTCCTAGATGGCTATTGGCTAGCTCCAAGAACGGCCCCGCCTTGACGTTGGTGTCCGCCCTTGGCCACGCTGCAACGCCGCTGCCCCTCACAGCCCTGCCCCTGCTGGGAAGCAGCAGGTCAGGTGGACGGTACTGACACGTTCTGTGCTGGTGGCAATTTTGAATTACCATCCCTGACTAAATTTCTTACAGTTCGAGCTCCATTAAAGCAGGAATCTGTCTTGTTCATTCTTGAATTCGCTCACAGACTTCATCTGTGTCTGTGCACTCAGTCTGTCCAGACACTGAAGTGAAAAGTAAAGATTTGGGGAGGAAGGAGGAGGAAAGAACAAAGTGTGTATTGTAAGTAATGTGAAAGCCCCTATTTAAAAGAATTACTACTTTAGATGGCCGACTTCAAATATCGAGCCTCCCTTCTAGAAACTATTTCACGAAAGTACGTCTTTCCTAGTGTCTGTGCGGTCTCCCTACTTTGTTACGAAAGCCAGGCCAACTTGGAGTTTGGGATAGTGGGGTGGCGTAGGCAGGTGCGGTATTGGGAAGGATAGTTGGAGTAGTTTTGACAGCATCTAAATATAATATTGAAATTAAAATAATTTTAATAGATGTCTTTCTTCTGCTAGCCCCAAAATCCTTTCACAGCAGAAAAGTAGTTTTTTGTTACTCCCCAGGGTCTAGTATCCTGTACATGGAACTTAACAAAGCCCAATTAATGTTTATTGCATAAATGCCTGAATGAATGGCATGCTCATAGACTGAGACAATATTTCATTGGTTGTATACAGCCCAATTCATAATGGGAGTGTACTAAACGAAGACCTATCCATAACCATTCTCTTCGTCCAATTAGTTATTCAACAAATATGTACTGTTCAAGGGCTATGGCCTGAAAAGAATGTCAGGTACTGGCTTAACAAAGAAACACGATTGCTGGTAGGTTACATTTTACCTGGCTCTGTCTCTCTGCCATTAGCTCCCAGCCCACCTCTACACCCATTCCTTTTACCTCTCTCACTTGGGAATAATAAAAGCTTTGAATGGCGATTTTTTTTTAACCCTACCTACCTAGATTGTGTCTAGGTAGATTGTGTCTACCTAGATTGTGCCTCAGACATAAAGCCCCACTTGCTTTCTGTGGAGTCCAAGTGGATTGCATTGTTCCTGGCAGCCATTACAATTTCCTGATTTTAGCTGCTGTTGTCTCAACAACTTCCAGAGTAGGTTGGCTTCTTTGTCTTAAAGTCCTTCAGCTCCTCCTTTTTTATTGGATTTGCTCTCTCTCTTCTATCCAAACTGGTCTTTCAGAAATTAATGAACAACTTTCTCTCTGAGTGATTTTCTTTACAACCATAAGGGTCAGTTATTATTAGTCTTTGTTATCATTCCTTGTAAAAAAAGTTACCAGCCTCACCTATTCAACTTTATATGCCAGAAACCTGAATCCAGTAAGTCATCAACTGTGACAGAATGAAGTATAACTTAATTTGTTGCTAATGCTTTCTTATGGTGATTTTCTACCTCCCCAAAATACAATTTTTGTTAATTAGCTTCTTGTGGTTATCCTTCCCTGTCTCCCTAGCCAACCCTCTCACTCCATCACTATCTGATGTGGGAACTTTTACTCCCTATTTTGTTAGCGGGTATAATCCTCTGGTTCTGGAAATCTTACAGACCCAAAGTCAGCACCATTTCTATAAGGAGTCCTACCTCAGAGCCCTCAGGCAGATGAACCAACATCCTGAAAGCAACTCACTTTTTTTCAACCTGCTATTTATTTATGCAGCCTGTTGCTTCTTGAAAATATTACAATGGTAGGTTTGAGTCAGGGTTTTAGGGGATTAAGATAAAAATCCTTTCTTCCTCTTCTGTGTTGAGATCAAATTGGGAATAAACATAGAAACCAATGGACAAATAATACTACTTTTATTACTGATCAAACTAAGTAGGGCATATGGATTTAGAACTGTGATGATCTAAAGATCTTGCTAAAATTTTACCCCAGAATTAGGTAGACTTACCCACCAAGCCAAGAAACAGCAGGCCTTCCCCCAAAGAGGTAGGCAGACTCCTTACTACATGTTAGAGACGGAACCAGAATGTACCTGCACTGCGGCCAGCATCTTCTCAACAACACTCACCTAATCCTGAGTACAGCCCTACATAGAGGAGGACCTAGGCCCTGCCAGCAGGCAAAAGCTTAGTGGTGGTGATAATCTCACAGACTTCTAGCTTTTCTCTCTCTGCAGCCTTTTGCTGGGAAGAAGTTGTTGCAATACACTTTTTTGGTGCAGGATTTGACTTTTGTAGATGCCTGCCTTTCTTATTAGTCTCCTCATTCTGTGTGTTGTAGTCCAGTTTATGACAAAGTTATTGCTTCAAAAGTAAAATTACTAGTTTTTCATATTACTTTGGGATAGAATGTATATTTTTGTTGGTATCCATCATTTTTGTTGCCACACATGGCAAAACCTCAGCTTAAATTACTGTAATTGAGTTCAGGTTTTTAGCAAGTTTTATGCTGCCACTTGATTTTTTTTTTCAATATGCTCTACAAAAAAAGTTGGGAAATGCTGCTGGAAAAAAAAACCCTGAAAATACCAATAAGACAGAAGCTTTAATTGAACCTCTAAAATGCTTCAAGACTCTGGAAATGATATTATGCATGATTGATGATATTTGAGTGATGTCATAAATTCATATAATTTGTATAATTTTTAAACCACTTTTTAAAAGAGTGATGGGAATTATAGAGGTATTTTATATCTGGATTAGACTATATACAAATACCATTTACCAGAAATTGCACCAGAGGCATTTTGTGTTTTTTTATAAGTTGGTTTTTGTAACTGTCATAACTTTGTAATTGTTGAAATTTATCTCAAATGGAATTTTCTGGTGGTTTTGTTTCGTGGGAGGAGGTGCTGGTGGGGACCCAGATGTTTTTTTAAAACACATAGATCAACTATGTTGTACACCTGAAACTAATACAAAATAATATTGAATGTAAACTGTAACTGAAAAATAAACATAAAAAAATAGAAGAGCACAAACCCCCCCACATTAAAGATTACAAATGAGAGAGGGGATATTACTACTAGCCCACAGAAATACAAAGGATCATAAGCAAGTACTATGAACAGCTGTATGCCAACAAATTGGATAAACTAGATGAGGCTGACCAAATTCCAAGAAAGGCAAAAGCTACCTAACCTTATGTAAGAAGAAATAGAAATCCTGAATAGACCTGTAACAAAGGAAGAGATTAAATTAGTAGTAGTAATAATACTAAAGCTTCCTACAA